TGTATAGTTTTGTCTTTATTTAGTTTTCTTTTATCAAACTATGATTTTTCTTCTATTTAATTGCTCTTAAGACTATCGATGATGTTTGTCGATTCGAGTGAACATTATGAAATCAATAAACTTGTAGATAATGCAGATTTCAAGCAAATATCAGTTATCTACTTTTACTCCCAAAACATCGTAACAATCTAAACCAGATGGAAATACGCATAAGAAAATGATTATTACTGAGACAAATTCTCATAAATATAATATTAATAGACAGAAAAGGGAAGAAAGAGAACTCTGAACCACAACTTAAAGAATTCTAACTTTAGGAAAATATGAAAACATCAGAAGGGAAGTTTTGGGAAATTTTGGATTTACTTAGCGTTATTAGATTCTATCAGAGCGTTATTAATTAGGTTTGAGAAGCTCGAGCAATTGTTTCGTAGTGACATATTTTAAGCTTTTAAGAGACATCAAGAGACATTTGCCATCATAACAATTGTATTAAAGGAATGCTGTTCTCTGAAGAAAGTTTTGTTTCAACTTAAATCCTTTTGAGGAATAAGTTAAGCGCTAAATGAGAGATCGGATTTATTGAGACTCAGAAAGCTTTTTTATAAGTTTTTATTTCAAATCTATTTGGAGGAAATTTATTAGTTTAGTAATACTTTATTATTAAAGTGATCGGTATGAACTAATGTCGTTTTTTTACATTAAGTTCAAACATATAAATTTTTATAATGTTTTTAATTTTAATCTCTGATATGATCACCCTCATTATTGAATACTGTTTGCGATCCAGAGTGTAAAATTTCAATGCCGAATCCATAAAAATTCATTTTTTTTGAGCTAAATATATAAAGATAAAATTTTGGACTATCTAAATTTTCAAATTTTTTTCATGTAGTAAATGTTGGAATGATCGGATAAAATGAAATCCGATGGTGGAATATCGGGTAAGTATGGTGAATGAAGCAAGATATCCCACCCTGACTCCTTAATTTTTTTCAGGACTGACCCTATAAATATAGGGGGTAGCATCAATCAGGGAAATATGGTTCCCATAGTTTGATCAGGAGAGAGAGTTAAAATTTGGACCTCTTAATGTTACTTTCACTTTTTGCGTGTTTCGCCATTTCTCGAGAAATTTTGAAGTGAATTGAAATTTTTTTTCACACAATTATAAAATTGGTTAATCCAAAGATAATTCTATACAAAAAATAAATTTTAGTAAATATTTATTATTTTTTATTATTTTATTAAATGATAACCGAAAAAAGTCTGAATTGTTAGGTATACAATTTTCCCCATCATTTTAAAATATGTAATTTTACTTGGCAAAATACAAAATTTGATTGAAATTGGTTGAATAGTTCCTGGGAAATCAAATTTTAAAGAAGTCGTATATTTAAAATTCAATTTCTCAGAAGCTATTCAACCGATTGAGCTCAATTTTTTCGACTATTATTAAATAAAATAGTAAAAAATAGTAAATATTTAGTAAAATTTATTTTTTTGTATGGAATTATTATCTTTGGATAAACGAATTTCATAATTGTGTGCAAAATTTTTTAAATGCACTTCAAAATTTCACAAGTTATGGCGAAATACGCAAAAAGTAAAAATAACATTAAAGGGTCCAAACTTTGGATCGCTCTCCGGATCAAACTATGGGAACATATTTCCAACATTGCTGCTACCCCCTATATTTTGGGGGTCAGAAATTCGAATTCATTGACGCAAAGGTATGTTTATTGAGAGAAAGTAAGACTTTGTATCCGATTTCGTAACTTCAAATATCGTCTACACTTATTAATTAGCATATTTGAGGTCATCCCCTTAAGCCATTAAGATTGAATCCTAGAAGGTGAAAATCCGATCATTAGATCAAAAGTTATTCAGGGTGGTCCGTTAGTTTTGAGCACTGTACACGGATTAATATTATAACTATTACGTTTATACCCTTGTGAAACTCAAAGAGCATACAATGCCGGATGTGTGTCGGATAAAGAAGAGATTTAAAGAAATGAAGAAAAGTTAGGGAGAGAAAAATTTTCAGGAATCTAAATTGCAGCATAAAGAATTCTAACTTTATGAAATTATGAAAACGTCAGAAATGAAGTTTTGAGAAATTTTGGATTTTCCAAGCGTTATTAGATCAGAACGTCATTAATTAAGTTTCAGAAATTCGAACAATTGTTTTGCAGAGACACATTTTGAAAGCTTTTCAGACACGCCAAGAGACATTTGCCATCATAATAATTGTGTTAAATGAACTCTCTTCTATAAACAAAGTTTTGTGTAAACTTAAATCGTATAAGTTGAGCATTAAATGAAAGATTTTCTGAGATTTAATTACGCAAAAATCTTTTCATAACATTTTTTTCCAAATACATTAGGGTGAAATTTATTAGCATAATAAAAGTTTTTTTAAGGTGATCGGTAAAGTAATGTTGTTTATTTACATTAAGTTCAAAAGCATAATTTTTAAAAAGTGCTTAATGTTAATTTTTTACATAATCACCCGCGTTATTGAATACCTTTTTCGATCGAGTGCGCATGTTTTTAATGCCGAATCGAAAAAAAATCAATCAGTTTTTGCGCAAAATACACGGAGATAGCATTTTGAACTTCCTTAATTTTCAATTTTTGCCACGTAATAAATGTTGTAATAATAGGAATAAATGGAAATCCAAAGATGTAATATCGGGTAAGTATTTAACATACTTGAGACATCTCACTTTTAATCTTCCAGGACTTTTGTCTTCTTGATCGATACGAGCCGGAAAAATTATAAGATTTGAATTATGGAAACCACCTTGGCTTTTAGAAACGTCTAATCTGCAGTGCGCAATAAATTTTTAAAAAAAATGGACCACTCTGAATAACTTTTGATCTAAAGATCAGTACTTCACACGATCTAGGACTCAATCTTAATTGTCTGAGGGAGTGCATATGTAAATTAATTAATGCAGATGACATTTTAATTCGCAAAATCAGACACACAAGCGTACTTTCTTTGAATAAATAAATCTTTATTTCGACGGATTCGGATTTATGGCTCCCAAGGTATTGGGAGTAGCAGCAAGCTTTGAAATATGGCCCCTATAGGTTGGTTGAGAGAGCGATCCAAAATTTGGACCCCTTACTGTTAATTTTACTTTTGTGTATTTTGCCATATCTCGAGAAATTTTGAAGGGATTTTAAATTTTTTTACACACAATTAGAAAATTTGTTTATACAAAAATAATTCCAAGCAAAAATATTATTTAGTAAATATTTATTATTTTTTATTTATCCAATCTATATATTCTCTTATCTTTAATCTTTTATTCTTAGTCTCCTATTTCCCTCTCTTTTTTAAATATTCCTCATATATATTCAAAATATAAAAATACGTTCTATCTGAAAGAATTCAATTTTTTTCGACTCCAACTTTGTCTCAAACTCCAACAAAATTTTATTGAATGAGAAATGACATTACCTTCCGTTCCCTCTTACATATTCCAAGCACAAGAATGCGTTATATCAGGAAGAATTAAATTTTTTTTCGACTCCGACTATGACTCCAATCCCTACAAAATTTTCTTGAATGAGAAACGACATTACCTTCCGTTCCCTCTTACATATTCTAAATAGAAAAATGCATTCCATCTGGATGAATTCAAATTTTTTTTACTCCAACTTTGTCTCAAACTCCAACAAAATTTTCTTGAATGAGAAACGACATTACCTTCCGTTCCCTCTTATATATTCTAAATGAAAAAATACATTCCATCTGGATAAATTCAGTTTTGTTTGACTCCTGCAAAATTTTCCTGACTGAGGAATGACATTACTTTCCATTCCCTCTTGTATATTCTGAACATATTCCATCTAAATGATAAAAAATGTCCAATATACTTTTTTTCCTCATCATATCTGACCTATATTAATAACTAGACAGGAATAGAGATGAGGGAAAAATAATCATAGATCAATGAAATATATATAGATTTACACGCAGGGTGCCAGTTCAATAATAACCGCAAAAATTTAACATAAAAACTAAAAAAAATTAAAAATAAAAGAAGTCTGAATATAGTACCACGTTGTCATCGCCTGGATTTGAACTTGGGGAACCTGTTTAACAAGCCAGAACCTCTGTTTCATTCCACTAATTATCATGGACAGTTTTAACATCAGTAAAATATGCTAGAAAACCGCACTGAGAAAAAAAGAATATAGTAAACTATAACGTGTTTCCGGCTATATGAGAACATGAAAAAGGTCGATAATTTTTACCAAAGCGCTTTGGTAATGATTTTGGTAAAATTAACAATTAAATATGGTTTTATAATATGTTGTAAAGTTTTGTAAATATGGTAACATTTGGTAATTTTATTGTTATATTTTTAAACAAGGAGTAAAAACTAATGATTGGGTTAAATTTGCTTTTCCGTGATATATATTTACTAAATAAGCGAGGTAATAAGAACTATAATTTTGAAAACTAGAATTTCCAATAACCCGTTACCATATGAAAGGAAAAGTTACCAAGTACCGTAAATGCCGTGTATTGTGGTTTTTATTATAAAAATTATATATTTTTTTAACCGGAAATGCTATTACCGTAGAGTATGGTAATTTTACCCGAATTCTGTGATGCGTGAGTGAATAAGCGCAAAACTATCATTACCCCCTATTAACACAAATCTAGTTTGCTGTAAAATTTATTTAGTACAGTATTTTATTTATTTAGTACAGTATTATAGTTATTCACTTAGTTTTATTAGACTACATTTTACAGTAGTACATACCAAAAAACATTTTTAAAAATTATTTAAGAGTTAGTTAGTAGTAGTTAACTAATTACGTTCACAACAAAAAATTCCTTTCCACAGAAATCGAAGATTTTCAAAAAATAATTCGAATTCGACCCAATTATGGGTGTATCTTATAGAATTAGCCATATAGAATAATGGAATATAATGTGGATCAATTAATGGTAGGTGAGACGATAATATACTCACATCAAATACTCTATCAGCGTGGTCCCTTGTCGCTTCCGCTGAGACCATTGGCTCTGTGAATTTACCAAGTAAGTTGTATATGGAATTAATAATCTCTCGCATTTCCTCTCTTGTGATGCAACCATCTCCATTAATGTCATACAGGTTGAAAGTCCATTGGAGCTTTTCAGTTGGAGATCCCCGTGAAATAGTCGAAAGACCGAGGACAAATTCCTGAAAGATTAATTCCTTCTCACACACACATGCATATAAGTATACATATAATTTATTTTTTCTCTAAATCACTTAAGTTAGAAATCAGTTATGAAATTTTTTTTAAAACTACTTCCTACCGTACAACAGCTCATTAATCAAGTAAAGTATAATTTCGAAGGGGGTTTTGTTCTCCAAAACTACGCCACTAGTTAACTAGTTTCAGGCAGTGCTTCAGTAAAAATAATTAATAGATATAAATAATTAGATATAATTAATTGTTATAAATTCATCAAATGATAGTTCATATTGCTTGCTGAAATAAATATTTTTGAAATATTCTTCTGAAGCTTATGAATTCTTAAGACTAGCAGTTCAGTTTACTTTAATTAAAATGAATCAATAATTGTCTTAAATTAAATGATTTCAAGCAGGGTATTTACATCACTATATATATATATATATATATAAACAAAATTAATGTCTATAAATAAATAGCCATTAGATCCGAAAATTATGAAATTGAAAAAAAAAATGCATTTACAAAAGAAAATAAATAATGAATGAAGTTATTAAAATTAAAGAAAGNATATATTTCATAATGACATAGAAAAAAAAATTTATATTTTAAAAACTATTTTGAAGATGGATAATTGAGTTTGAAATACTCATCTTTGTTTCTATTTTTTGTTAAAATAATTGCGTGGTTTCTGACATAACTTTGTTTTCTTGAATTGCATCAAAACACCAATTTGTTTTTTCTAAAAGCTTTCACACAGTAATATAACTATCTGTACTATGCTATACTATTACCACAATAATACAACAAATAACCATGGTATTTAAATTTTATACTTTTATTTTTTGTTGTAAATAACTAGATATTATTTGAAAATTGTTTTTGGTATTACATTGGCATCATATTACTTCTAGAGAAGTTTGGGCGCATCATCAGGATTAAAATTGCCTAGGAACCGATGCCCAAAAATGTGGTCGTATGTGTTAAGGGCGCCTCCCTTACATAACCTGTACAGAAACACACGAAGAAATAGTTCATAATAGGGAAGCACCCTAGCTGTGTATTCTGACAGCTCCAGGCACGAGTCCCAATGCAATTTTAATCCTGATGATGTGCCTTAAATTACCCCTAGAAGTTTGTCGTCGAACTTATGCTAACAACTGCTGTATTTAACGCTTTTAAACTTGTACATTTCGACAAAAAATGGACTGAAAATGTCTGTTTTTTTAAATAAAAAAAACTTTAGCTTGAAGAATAGCAGATTTGAAATTAGCGATACAAAAGTATCAATAATCTGTTAAAAAATCTCACGCATCAGGAAAAAAATTGTTCCCCAGTGATATCAATAGTTAAATGTATAGAAATGAGTAGTTTGTCAATTGGAAATAAAAGTGAAAACAAATACCTGGAAGTTAATTGTCCCGCTTCCATCATTGTCAAATGCTTTAAATACATAATGAGCATACTGACTAGCATCTAGAAAAAAGCAATTAAATTATAGCATAAATATAAAAATAAAAGACCAGTCACAGAGGAAAAGATTTAAATAATTAAGTTAATAATGAATAAATGTCAATAGCAGAAAAATAGTCTAAACAAAGTTAAAAGCATTTCTACGAGGTGGTCGATTTTGGTCTTTACGATTAATGAGTCCAGTGAAAAAATCAGGCAAATCCAATATTTTTTAAATTTTTTATTTTAATTTATTTTTGTTAGTAAACAACATACTCATACTGCTTTGATTATTGAAAGTATCGGGCACAAATGCAAAATCAGTCCTCTTCTACGTGTTGTGTGAGTGGAGATTATATAAATTTATTATTTTTAATTTTAAATTTTATTTTCCTTTCATAAACATTACTGGGATTTGGACTTACATTGTTCCAACGCAAATACCCTGAACTATTGAATTCAGGTAAAATTGTTACTTTTTAATAATTAATGACAATTTGGACGAAACTCAAAATGCGTATATCGAAAAAGTACGCAGTACAAAGCTGAACTAATATTGAACCAATAATATTTATTAAATTTTTAAACACTTATCAAGTTATTTTGGAGCTAAGTCCAGACCTCAAAATTCAAATCGCAGGTGTTTAAGCGTATTGCAAATGCAATTTTTCAGGCGTTCTTCTTGAGATAAAAAATAAGATCAAATTAGTTTCGGTTTCTTCGAAAAAAATTTTTTTTCCCCAAAAACATTTTTCTGAAGCTCGAAAGATTGCTGCCAAACAATTTAAACATCTTCAGGGTCTGAAAAATTCCTGCATCTATTTTTCGCTGCAGAATATACGAAAACTACTCACGGGAAAAGAAATATAAAAACAGAATTCTAGTGCGACAACTTTAAAAAAAAATGGTGACGAAAAGGAAACAAACGTCGATCTTTTAATACATATTTGAATACCACTACATACCATTTTAAAAATTATATTTGTAGGATAATTCTTGTTTTCAGATCTCTAAACGATAAAGTGGTATTCAAAAATGAATTTCCTACAATTATTAACGTACTATTTCTACCACTATTATAAATTTGAAAGACCCGTGGTAATCCTATAAAAAAAGACCCGTAGACTTTTAAAGTTCGATGTGAAAAGATTTATGCACAAGTTGTACTAGGTAATTTATGCAATGGACGACATTACTTAATTTATTTGGGTTTATTAGTGTTCCTTTAAGAAGACAATACTCATGAATAGTTTGAAAAAGGAATCAAATGCTATGTCCACTGTATTAAAAACGTTTTGTGAGCTACATCTATTTTCGCACACCTCATATTTTAAGCTGCGTCCATTTTTTAGTGAATTATTGTAATTAGGTTATGATGAATTATTGTAATTAGGTTATGATGAATTATTGTAATTAGGTTGTGATGAATTATTGTAATTAGGTTATGATGAATTATTGTAATTAGGTTATGATGAATTATTGTAATTAGATTATGATGAATTATTGTAATTAGATAATGATGAATTATTGTAATTAGGTTATGATGAATTATTGTAATTAGGTTATGATGAATTATTGTAATTAGGTTAAATTAAAATTGTTTAAACGACTTTGTTTTCGGTAGAAAAGACAGATTCCTTTAAATTTTTCAAAGGAAAAAGGCCAGGACATAGCTTATTGCTAAAAGGTTTTAATTAAGCTGAAATCTAACCCAATTTAAAATTTTATTTAATTTTCAATTTTTAACTTCTTGATATGTTTATGCTCAATTATCGATTTTCAACTAGAATTACAAAAGCATATGGAAAGGCGATGATGGATAATCACCTTCTATTCTTTACTTTTTTTGTTGTACAGGTTAATTTTAAATAGGTTTTTTAAACTGTAGTCTTTGAACCTTGATGGCTCAGGGGATAGAGCGTTCGCCACCCAGTGAGGTGAACTGGGTTCGAATCCTAAACATGGCTGGTTATTACATATTCCGCTCTCGGTTCGCACGGACAACTGTGCTGACTTAAAATATCCCCAGAGGTAGACGGATTGTGGGTTAGAGTTCCTTTGCCGTCTGGCTAAGTGTGGGAGATTTTCGGGGTTTTCCTCTCCATGCAACGCAAATGCGGGTTAGTTCCATCAGAAAAGTCCTCCACAAAGGCAAATTTCTCCCTATACTTCATCTTGGAATTGTCTTGTCTCCTGGATTAGGTTCAGAATTACAAGGTTATGGAATTTAACATTGTTAGTCGTAAACTCAAAATTGGGTCTGCTGTTTAACGACGGTTATAAAATAAATTTAAAAACTGTAGATTTACAATTTCAGAAAACATACTGGGTCGTGTAGTGAACATTATCTGTGGGGGTCAAGCTTTATATAAAGAAAGATTTGTACTTAAAAAAAAACTTAATAAATTTTCCCCCGTAATTGTATATTATAAATTTTCAATCATTTATAATTCAATTAAAAAACGACTATTTAATTTAGTACCAATAAATATTTTAAGTAGCTATTTAATGCAGTGTACCTTTTAGATGAAAATTTTAACAAAACATAATAAAATTTTAAGCTATCCAAAAAGTTTTGTTAATATTTTATTTTTCTACTGAAAATTCAAAGCAATGAAATGGGATAATAAGATATACTGAATTTCTCTAGTAATTAATAAAAAAATAAGAAAGATAATTGAAAATCATAGTGAAATTTTTAATCTCTGTTATCATATTGAAAATAATTTTTAATTCAAGTATTTTTTTATAAATAAGTATACACATTCATTGGGCGTTTCAATAACTCTCTGCTAAAATTTACCTCCTGCATTAAACATTGAAATAGTAATTTTGTCCCTTCACTAAGTTGAAAACCTATTCTAATTTTTAAAATTTGTTTAGTTTTATTGTGCATGACTATCGGTGATCTTCCCGCCAATATTATTTGGTACACCCTTCTAAATTCAAATAAATAACTTTCATTTAAAAAAAAATACATATAAAATACACATTTTTCTTACAATTACAATTTTAGGTATTTATGAATACATTTATTTTTTATTATTGTAAGTAATATTTCGTTAAATAAAATTTTCAAAAGGCATAATAATTATTATCTTTCTGGGTAGTTTTGTTTTATAATTTTTTAATCTGTTTTTGAAAAAACTTGCCATCACTGATTAAAAACGTTAAGAAAAAGTGTTTCCGTATTTAAAATCCCTGTATTTAATTCCGTCTCCCTCCCTGAGGTAGATGAATGTTTCAGCGCAAAGTTTAGCACAATGTTAAAGCACAAAGTTTAGCTTTATGAAAATTGTAAAATTCAGACAACGGAAAACACTTAAACCTTTTTTTTTCAGTACCAAAAAAAAAAAAAATACTTGACAAGCAGAATAGCTTTTTTGATAAGCCCTTTAAATTTTATAATAGCTTGATTTAAAAAAGTTTTTTTAATTTCTGTGCTTACATTTAAGTCTATAATAGGTCAATTTTTTGAATTATATAAAAATTGTCTTGAGCGATTAGTTTCCCCAACAAATACGAAAGGAAATTATTAAGAATAGTGATCCAACCTAAGGGATAACAGAAATTATCCTTCTACAAACTATTCATTTCAAAAGAAAATTTCCTGTTTAAAGGTTTTCATTTACTTAAAAAAAATATTTATTACTTTCTCACATATTACTTTCTCATATATTACTTTCTCACATTAGTACGCTCTATAGCGCAACTAGAGAAGGGGAAAGAGATGAGAGTAGAATCTTAGTTTCTCTTAAAGGACTTTTTTCCACTCGACTTAACTAGACCGTCTAAGAGGTGGAGACGGAGGGAGGAAATCTTACTTTAATGTGCTTTAATCACATTAAATAAATGTAATTTTAATCACATTTAAATAATTTTAACATATTTACTGATATTGAGGCTTTACTTTATTCGGTTATATCATTCGAAATACATGAAATGTAATGTTCTCACCTAATTGATTGAAGTACATCTTGTATTTTCTCCAATTTAATGGATTTTTTTCAAGACCATAATAATGCAATCCCTTAATTCGTATTTTTGAGAAGTAATTCAGTATCTTGTTTCGCTATTTTTAGATTTTTAGTAGGTAATTTTGTTTTCGAGTAATTTACGACGAGACAATTTTTAGCAGCATTTAAACAGCTGTCATTAATTTAAACAAAAATAAAAAAGAAATTTTTACATAAATCTAAACATGGACAAATATACAGTATTGAATTACTCAAATATATTCCTAAAAAATACAAACTGCTTAATTTTACTGCTTTATATTTTTTTGAGAAAAAAACATAACACGATTCGTTTAGGCGAAATGGTGGATCATACAGCATTTTTCTTATATGAAGTGCTTTTCTTCGGTGCATGAAAGAGAGGATTTTCTGTCCGTCATATTCACAGTGTTTGAGAACTAATGCATCCAGATAGGGTATACTAGGCCTCGAAGGTGAAATAAATGTTATCCAGTTTATGAACACCTTCTATACTAAATTTTAAAATCCTCTCTGGTGCGCAAATCGTAACATCTTAAGTTTTCTCGGGTAGTTTCAGATTCTTGTGAAAAACAAGTTATTTAGTGAAAATATTAAAATTAGGTTTAAGCCATTGTCTTGGCAAGCTAAAAATTTCAGTTTTTGTTTTCCTGAGATGTCTGAAACTGTAAATTAGTGCATGTGAGATTTAAAGTTTTATTTAATTTTTAAATGACTTCTAGAACATTCTATTTTTTATCACTTTCTTTTCCATATTTAATTGCACGACAGTTCGTGTATTTCAACTGGAAATGCAAGTTAGACTGTACTGTTTATGTTGAGAGTACTTCTATAAAAATGTATTGCTGACTGGATTACTCTAAATTCTTTCTTTTCAACAGCATTTAAGTCATATTTTTCAAATACTAGAATTTTATACATTATTTTGATGCATTAATAGTTAAGCAATTGATATTGCAGCAATTTCGCTGTTTTAATATTTTTATGAACTCTGTGGTGAAGCCTTTATGAAGCCAGTTTGCTCCTTGAA